CTCTTCGAGATATAGAGTATATAAAAATTCGCCCGCTTTAAATAAGTAGGCTTTGAACGGCATCGGCTGTAATGCAAAAAAATTCTAGCTGTGAGCATCAATTAAAACGAAAATAATATTTGCTATGAGAGATGCAGAATTTTATAACAATTTAAAATATATTTAACAAATATCAACACATTTAAACTATATCTCATAACAATAAAAATAAATAGCAAACCAGGACATGAGATTTTGCTACAGGTGTTCGACATATCGACCGTCTTCTGTTATGGACAGACGGGGCAGTTTTTGAACATTTCTTCCGGAATTCATTAACTCAGTGGGGGTGAAAGATACCCTCTCATAACTGCTAAGTATTTCTAATTCTTGTCTAGATTATACAGAAGAATAAGGAACCTTTATTCTTCCGCAAATATATCCATAGGATTAGATCCATGGACACTAAGTCAGGCGGCCTCGACGACCAGCGGCTGGGTTCTTGGTCAGCTATTCAATTATTCTTGAAATTGGTTGCAGAAATTTGGTGATAACTTCAGAAAAATATGTTTTTGAGATCCATTTTAAGGGCATTATCATCAATGAGGGATCCAAAGCCTACTAGTTAAAAGTGGCGAACTTTTAAAAAATCTGTATTTCGAAGGGGATTATAACAAAATATCAAGTGTGCTATATTTTTGGAAAGGTAATTTTAGATTCTTTTCAGCTAATTAAAAATATACAGGGTGTCAAATAAAAAATCAAATTTTCTGTTGATAATTCTTAAATTATTAATTTTAAAAAAATTATACTTAAACCATTAAATTCTACGTAAAAAGGTGCTTTGGAAATATTTGCATAAAAATACAAAATTTTCCATAGCAAAAAAGTTACAGCGATTTGTTAAAAATGCAAATTTTTGAAAAACACCCCGTAACTCCGAAACGGTAACAGATATGGATATGCGGTTTTTACCATCATGTTTTTGACAAAAATTGAGCTCCAGACACCGATATTAGTTTTTCTCTATCTCCTATAGAAAAGGTTGTTTCCATTTAAAAGCGTCGAATTTGACCCACCCTGTACAGGATGTCCCATGCTGAGCGTGCATTAAAAGTTTCTAGAGAATTACACTATCTAGATCGGAGATTTTTTGCACATCATTGTTTCACAACTAGATGTATCGATTAAAAATATTTTCACTATGGCGGCGCTTCCTGAAATACCGGAAGTTGACAGCAACTTTCTTATTTGGGTAAACGGGTACCACCAGTTTTTATTACATACTTAAATTCTCTCTGTCAAAAATGTAAAATATCTGTTATTTCATAAGTATACTATTATACAGGGTGTTTCAAAATGTGTCATCGCTCACGGGCAGATTCCTCACGTAAAAATAAGATTTATTTTTCATATCAACGATTTTGCCGATTTTGCTTTGTTTTGTAGCTACAGGGTTTTAAAGTCTTAATATTTTTTCGATTTATTATAATTTTCTAGAGTACTTTTAGCGTTTCGAACGAAATTTTGAGGGTTATAGTTACTATAAGTGCGACATATTTTTAAAGCTAAAAGAGTGTCGACATATTCATCAGTGAAGTGCATCCGGATTATCACTGGAATATTTTTCAAAAAAAAACATGTGCGCCACTGACTTATTTTCTTTTGATACCAAAATTGTATAGGCCGTTTAATGCTAATTAAATTATCTCTTGATATTTTGTCAAATTCGGTCTCCTTGATGAGATAAAGGAATTTTATTAATTTGTTTTCATCCAAATCTAATAGCAACCTTTAAGAAATTTTAATATCATTAACTTGCGAAAATTTTAAATAAGTACTAGTTGATTACTCATCAAAAAATAGGAAAAAAAGTTCCTATAAACAGGGGTATGGAAATGCATAGTTTTAGAGTTACAGGATGTTAAAACTTTTTTAAAGTATTTTTTTTTTGTAATTATCTTAAAAACTATTATTTACTATTATTTTTTTATTGGAATTGCAGTAGGATGGACTAATAGTAATAATATTTAATAATAAATTAGGTAAAATGTATAATTTATTAATTTTATTTTTATTTTAGTTTTATTAATTGTGATTAATAAAATTGCATTTATTTCATCAAGGAGGCCGAATTCGACAAAATATCAAGAGACAACTTAATTGGCATTAAACGGCCTACACAATTTTGGTATCAAAAGAAAAAAAAGTCAGTGGCGAACATGTTTTTTTTTTAAATATTCCAGTGATAGCCCATATGCACGTCCCTGAATAATTTATCGACACTTTTTTAGCATTAAAATATGTAGAACTTATAGTAATTTTTACCCTCAAAATTTCATTCAAATCACCAAAAGTACTTGGAATAAAATTATAATAAATCGAAAAAATATTAAGACTTTATAATACCCTGTAGCTGCGAAAAAAGCAGAATCGGACCTATGTTGATATGAAAAATATATCTTATTTTTACTTCAACAATCTCCCCAAGAGAGAGAGCACATATTGTTTGAAACACCCTGTATAGTATAAGTATTCCTTTATCTTTAATTTTCTTTTTCATTTGTGTAAATATACCTAGCCAGTTTTACATAAAACATTAAATGCCGAACGCTTATTTTTCTACTTTTTCGGACTAGTGAAATGGACTCTTAAATAAAGACCATTGTACTTATCATATACCCCTCATATTTTAACCACCCCTACATTATTCTTCTACTCACCCCAAATTATAGGAAATTAAAGAACGTGATATGCCTGTTGGGCCGGAGCAGCCTTATGGCGGGCGGCATGCACTTCACGATAAAGGGGCGGCAGGCCAGCCGGGACGAGGCCCCCATTCTGGTGGCGGCGCCCCATTCCACCTTCTTAGACGCCGGGCTAGTGTACGTTACAGGATTCCCCTCGACGATAGTGCGCACGGAAAGCGTCAGTTTCCATATCGGAAGTACGTGCGACTTTTGGCTTGAAACGATGTGGCAACATTGAAATGTATTTTTTTCCTACAAATTCATTGTCATTGATAACTCATATTATTATTGTTTGATATTGCTAGTAATCAAAGATATTTAAACACGGGAGATACAATGGTCCATTCATAAAACGCTTTAAGACTTCATTACACATTAGTTTGCGAAAATCAACGAGTGCGAGAGAGAACGGATAGAGAAAGGTACCGCCGCGATGCCAATAATGTAGGTGTGTACAAAGATTAAACGTCATTAATTTACAGTGGCGTGCCGATCGACCGACAGTATTTTAATGAAAATAAAATAATTGTTTAATAGATTTAAAAAAATAATAAAACTTACATATTTGTCGTATTGTAAAAAAAGTAAGTTGAGGGAGGATAGTGAAATAAATAAAAACCGGCATATTTTTTTATTACAAGATGGCTTTTCACATAAGAATAACGATTGAAAAAACCAGTAAGTGTTTTTTACTTTATTTTATTAAATAAAATATCAAATTTTAGGTGTATTAGTATCTTGTTCCAAACCTTTTTCGTCTCCGGCGAATGAGGGGGTCTCATTCGCATAAAAAATAATATGGTAATTGTTTAGTAAACGGTTCTTCCCTTAGTCTTAAGAAATATTTAATTCTTTTTTTTCTCTTGTTTGTACAGGTAAATTCATATTGTTTTAAATGATAAAAAGTGCATGTGCAAAGAATTTCAATACAATAAAATGTAAAAATACAACAAAATGTAAATAAAAGTAATAAATTCATGTAATGAGCACATTAATTTTATGTATGTCAAAAGATGCCCACTTACATTATAGCAACTAAAATTTAAAACAAAACGGTATAAAATTGTAACGGCAACAAAAAAAAATAAAGTCGCAAAATTCCTTTTTGGTACACCCCAATAAAATTTTTACAAAAGGTAGGTAATGATTTGTCAAACCCAAAAGTAGGTATCTAGATTAGATTTATTCTTATAAGAAAGTACGGTTTTTCGAAAATAAATGTTCGTAATTTTATAAATTACAGGCGGTTTGTAGAACTTAAATTTAATTTTTAACATTTAATACCGTTTCCTAAAAGTGAAACAGAAATTGTTAATTAATTGATAATTAACTTATCGGTAATTAGTACGTACCATGTACTTTTTCCTACAAGTAATTTAATTAATAAATATACAATTTAAAAAACAAACCTAAAAATAAATATAATTTAGAAATCTGCTATTTTTTATGTCTAGGTACGCCTCTGATCTGCAGACAAAAGGATAATAAAAATATAATATACCTAACCCTACTTATTTTTATTTAGCGGTGAAAAGTTAAATTTGGATTTAAATGATCCACTTTCTTGTGCACAATACATGAACGCACCATATTTTTAAATTAATGTCCACAGAAGTCCACAAAATAACGCAAAAATACTATAATCCTGCAAATAAAGAATACGGAGCTTCAACGGCAGAATAGCAACCTCGCAACAGTAGAATCTAGGAATTTTCATTCCTACTCGAAATCCGTTGTACTACGCCGGCACATTTCTAAAACTGAGGTTGCCAAACTGCTTTTTATTATTAAAAGAAACACGACAATGATATTTTTATTCCATTAGAAAATTAAAAAAATAGTTAAGTAGTTAAATTAATGAAAAAATTGACGTTAGCAAATTAATGTACTTGACATATCATAGAAATATAACGACATTATTTATTACTTCATAATTGGTTGTGGTATTTAATTGAATCCTAATACCAATATACAGGTAAATCTAGCAAATGTTTTCGGTGTAAGAGAGATGAAGAATTAAGATAGAATAATGGCCGATGAGGGAAAAAGGTAAACAATTATATATTTTGAGTTTAAATATCTTTGATAGTAATCAAATAAATTAATCAATGTTGCCAAATTGTAGTTTTCTTAAATTTGCTTTGGGTTTTGGTCATCACTCTTGACAATATTTGAACCTTTTTTTATTAGGAGTTAAAGTTAATTACAGATAATATTTTTGTTATTATCTCAATAACTTAATACTATAACTAAGTGTGACGGCGTTTTTAGAACTAATAAACTACACACAACCTATCTATGTTTGGCGGGATGACCCAGAATCCAGACAAAAGTCAGTGAAGGAGATTATTAATAGGGCAACGTCCAGTCTCGACTGGCCACAGATCCTGATCTTTCCAGAAGGGACTTGTACGAACAGGTCTTGTCTGATCAGTTTCAAAAATGGAGCTTTCTATCCTGGAGTACCTATCCAGCCTGTGTGTATTAGGTATCCAAACAAACTGGATACGGTGACATGGACATGGGAAGGACCCAGTGCGTAAGTGAACTTATTTTATTATAAACTAGTTTTCCCGCGACTTCATTTGCATAAAATTCGGATTTATTCTACATGAAGTATCTTCTGATACTTGTAACTCCTAGCCACAGAACAAACTGCCTATATCTATCTTTGAGTAAAAAGATTAAGGAAGGACTGGAAGGAGCATATCAAAAATCTTAGATCGATCGCGACGGGATTCTAGAATGGTCGACTTTAAGGCGGAATTACATTACTATCACGTCACGGGAGTTCACATGCTATCACAGTAAAAGTGAGTTCACGTGTGTTTTAAAGGAAACACATTAGTATCACGTCGTTCTTTCATATTATGCGCATTTTATTATGAACCGAAAGCCATTTCTCGTTCGTTCAGCGTTCTTAATTCATAACAACTTAGGTCCTATAAACGTAACAATGAATCAAATAAATAGTTCATCTTCATCTTCTGAGTTTGAAGAAGATTTAGAAAATGCATGTGGTTTACTTGTGGTTGTTGATAATATTAAAACTAGACAATGGGTTCATGACATTAATTTGAAAGAGAGTAATTTGTTGATCGGTTATAGTAAAGCACCTCGTGTAAACGCACTTGTTCTATTAGAATTTCTTCCATTTTCCAATCCTCACGCTTCCAACGTTCAACGTTTTCACGCCTCACGAAATTGATGTTAAAACAGAATATTTGAGCGCGAAGCAACTCGCAATATCACTTGATTTCGCATGAATCCCCCAAGTGACAATAATGTGTTCACCCTTGATGTGTTGATTAATAAAATAACTGCAAAACATCGGTCTCATCAAATTTACAGCTCATGTGTATTCACGTGAATTCACGTGACGTGATAGTAATGTAATTCCACCTTAAAGTCCGGTTTATCAGTGCTGTTCTGATTCTATTCAAAACGAGTAAAAATATGATGTAGAGTAGACGTGGGGTAGACTCAAAATAATTTGTTGTTTTATTTTACGTTGGTAGTTATAAAAATTGTTATAAAAATATACAATTCTAATAAAAATAGATAAGTTATAATAATTATTTATTAACACAAACATCCGATACGCTACTGAAACAGGTAAGTCAAATTGACTTATCCAAATTCTTTGATATCTAATCTTGGACAAGTAGTAAATAAAAGCAAAAATGCAAGAAAAAAATATATAATTAGTTAATTTTAAGTGAACTTCATAAATAATCGGTTTACTACACGTATGTATATTATATAGTCACTTACTAGCGAAAAGTTATTCCATTATTTCCCTCGATTTTTGGCAGAGATCTACCGCACGCTACACAACCAACTATTTTACAGTCTTTTTCGATAAATCGCAATAGTGGCACTGTTAATTTAAGTTCTGTTACAAATTTCTTCTAGATTTACTGCCTTTAAACAACTATCAGTAAGTAATAAATAACATATAATATAAGCTTAGTAAAGACCAGAGAGAACACTAATAACTAAAGTAAGAGAGACCGATCAACGTTAATTTTTGAAGACTGTGTTAGTGGCGCGGCCTTTGGCGTCTAACCCGAACTATGAGCGCATTATCGATATAGTAGGTTGCATTCATACCTATATACTGGCACCAAAAATTTGAAATTTGTATATTTGAACCGAATCTTAATCTTTCAAGTTTATAATAAGAAATCTTCGCAGTTTTTTTAGATTATTTTGTTGACAACGAAACTTTATTATTAGACTTTAAAGCATTAAAACCTATAAATAAAATACTGTGTAGGAACATAATAATTTATTTAATTCCATACTCCTTGCCATACTCCAACTCAAGGCTGCAATCTTCAGTATCTTTTTTATCTAACTTGGTTTGGAGTGAACAGGGAAGCACGGTTGAGAGCTCGCACAGAGTATCAGTAGGTATCCCGTAGGTATTCGATGTTTTTGATAGTCTTTATTCTATAACAAGAACCTAGCAGTTGAAGAAAATAATTTGTATTACTGGAAATAATACCAGGTATAATACCTAGTCCTTCCATAGGTATCAGAAAAGAATGTGATGTTTTAAATTAAAAAAATTAAATTAACAATGTACGATTATTATGTGCACTCACTATTACTATTAGGTATGTTAAAATAATTACCGAGATAAAACTTACCTTTAAAGGAAACGTTTTGTCTGGGTCTCAACCACAAAACAAAAATTACAAAAATGCCGAATAATCGTGGAATCTGAAATAATCAATAATGACAATAATCTTCTCTTCTGACAAGCTAAAAGAACAGGCACATTCAGTCAAAAACAATTTATTACTCCGATTTGCTCCGATTATCAACAGATTTTAGTTATCTCCTTCTAGAACTAAGAAATAGAAAAAGCTACTGACAATCTAATTAATCCTGTCAAATGTTTAACTTGCAAAGTTGAAAACTTCCTTTTTTGACCGCCTAAACGCTATGCGCGTCTGGGATGCGCGGTGACAAAATAAACTTGTCTACGAAATGCCCTATTCCACAAGTCCTCTCACTTTAGTTATTAGTTTCTCTCTGGTAAAGACTGACAAATCCACAAATTACAAAACAAATTCATATGTGTCAAATTAATCGTCAAACAAAACTGTCAAGGATTCACACCCTAGGGCCGTTTGTCCACCTACCTTGCATGATTACATGGATAGCATTACGCTCCTTCCTTAATATTTTTATTCAAAGATACCTATCTATTACATTACATAGATACAGTGGCAAGGCAGAACCTGATATGTCATAAAAACATATTCACTTCTGTAACCTAACAATTACCATGTAAAGGACATATCGGGTTTTGACATAATAGGTCTATTCGTTTTCCTGTTATTATCGATTCTGAATCGTCCTAGAACTCTCCAGCGCATGCGCAAATTTAATGAAATAATGTCTTCTTATTTCCTTCTGCGCATGCGCATTACAATTCTAGGACGGTTCAGAATCGGTAATAACCGGAAAACGAAAAAAGCGGCTCTGGTGCACAATAGGTCCCCACGCATTTAACACTTTTTTGGGATTTTTTTGCAAGATTATCTTAAACTGAATATTTTTAAGCATAAAAATGGTTGGATGAATGTGTTTTATCTTTAAAAAGCGGCAAAAAAACGTATTTTAGGTACAGGCGACGGACAGTAAATATGTTAAATTTTCTACACGGATTCAGTAAAAACATCACATATTAGTACTTTATTACCTTATATAGACGTGGAATGATCTAATTTAAGCACAAAAATGTAACGAATCTTCTTTGTAAGCATAAAAATTAAGAAAATATATTTATTTACATCAGCTCAAGCTAGCAATTTTATGACTTTTTCGATTGACAGTTAATCGATCATCGGTATGTCATCTATGGCCTTCGCATAGAATTTGCGACGTTGTCAATAAAATTACTTTATATGATTTTCTTCTGAAATAAAGTTGTTGTGGAGGGACTTAAAACGGTAAGTTATCACTTTAGTGCAACAAAAATTGAACTGTCTAGTAGCTTATTCGTTAGTGTGGATTATTTTAAAGCAATTTCTGAAATAAAATTTGCGGATTTTTCAGGTTCTACGAAAATATAAGTTTTTTTAATATATACTGTTTTTCGACGCGTAATCAATGAAGTTTTGTCATTAGGCTCAATTAGGTTAGCCTGGTTATTTGGAAGGTGGTAATGCATTGGTTAGCCTGGTTATTTGGAGGGTGTTAATGCAATGGTTAGCCTGGTTATTTGGAGGGTGGTAATGCATTGGTTAGCCTGGTTATTTGGAGGGTGTTAATGCATTGGTTAGCCTGGTTATTTGGGGGTGTTAATGCATTGGTTAGCCTGGTTATTTGGAGGGTGGTAATGCATTGGTTAGCATGGTTATTTGGAGGGTGTTAATGCATTGGTTAGCCTGGTTATTTGGGGGTGTTAATGCATTGGTTAGGTTAGGTTAGATAGGCTGGTTATTTGGAGGGTGGTAATGCATTGGTTAGCCTGATTATTTGGAGGGTGTTAATGCATTGGTTAGCCTGGTTATTTGGGGGTGTTAATGCATTGGTTAGGTTAGGTTGGTGGGGAGTGTTTGGAAGTACGCAGATCACATCGATTTCGGAATCTTACTGAACAAATCCGGGAAAAATATATTTTAAACAATTGTGCTAAATACTGTGTAATGATTTTATTGTCAATTTATTTTTATAGTGTTTTTGTTTTGCCTCGTTTATTATATTTTTTATTTTTCGTGTTCTTAAAGTGCGTACTAAATGTAAAAAATGAATATAAAGTAGAACGTTTTCGTCGATTTTACACAGGGTGAGTATGGCAACACTGTGCATAACCTTGTATTTTACTGTCTTTATGAAGGTTATAATAGGGAGTTTTCGCATTGAAATGTAGTGAAAATTTGGAATTTTCAATTATTTTTTTTCGTAGAAAAAGTGGTTCATCCAACAATTTTTTTCTTTTAAACCATTCCATTAACTATGGGATCCACATTAAAAATTAAAAAAAACACGATTTCGTGGGGACCTGTTCTGCACAAGACCCGAAAAAAGCTAATATTTTTTGCCACATTTTATACCGACCAAGTACAGTTTGGTATTAAAAACAAAAAAATCGGTTTTTTGACATATCGGGCTTTGGCTTAGTTCCAGAGAAATTATATAATAGGTGACACACTTAATACTACTGTTTTCTATCCTAGTTTGAAACTTCTTTGGTTGACTTTGACGCAGCCAACAAGTCATTGTGAAGTTGAGTTTCTACCAGTCTACAGACCGAGCGAAGCTGAAAAACGGGATCCAAAGCTTTTTGCCAATAATGTTAGAGCTGTCATGGCCAAGTAAGTACCTACTTTGAGTACAATATGAAAAAAGTTATTTGTTTACTAAATATAAATGTTTCACAGAAACTATTATTCTTTAAAAAATCTCAGCTTAAATAATGAGATTTTTATACGTAATAAATTAACATACGATTAATAAAACGGTGTCAGAGACGGCTGGAGAATGATAATCGATAATAATTTTGCCGAGGTCAAGCTATAGACGTCATTTACTTATCCCGTACTCTATTTTATAATAAAACCTTAACAAGGTTGCATTTTACTTTTATATTATTTTGGTCGAGCTACCAAAATCCGTGTGTTTTTAGAAGGGGACGTTTATTTATGGTTCTAAATAATTTTTAATGTGTTAACCTTGAAATTAAGCGTGGAAGTCACTTCGAAAATTTTGGCGACCTAACCCTACTATAGGTCGCTACATTAATTTATACCAGCAGAAAAAAAAATAAAGGTGTAAATAAAAATAATATGTTTCCTGTAGGAAATGGTAAGTATCTAAACGACCATCCTCTACGACCTCTACAAATTCTCTACAGGCCTCTATAGAGCTAGTGGAGCTCTATATTTGCCCCATTTAAACTGTGTTTCGAAAATGCATAGTTTACGAGATATTTAATTTGAAAGATTTCGATTGTTGATTTTCTGGATATACCACTTTGAAATTTTTTTTATTTATTAACTTTTTCCACTCTTTTTACTTGGTACGGTTATTGTAGGAATTTCCCCAGCCGTCTTTGACGCCGTTTTTTTTTCGATCATACGGTATAATATGTGTTATTCTGAACTTAAAGCACAGCTTAAAGCATACGACTTTTTCTCAAATAATAATTTTATACGCATTTCAAAAATGAAGTCACTCTGAAACGAATTTAAGATGTTTAAAATCTCTTGTGTATGTAACATGATCTTTAAATTTTCACCAATTACATTTTACATTACTTTATCTAAAATTAAAAATCAAACTTATACCAAATAGGTATACTAAAATAGATGATATGATAAGTCAAAAAATTCTTAGAAAAAGAAAGCAGAATATTTATTTCTAATTAATTTTATTTTCTTTTGTTATTTTAAATTCGTATATTAGTATTTTTTATATTATAGGGCTCTGGGAATACCTGTAGTGGACTACACCTACAGCGATTGCAAAATGATGACAAGAGCCAAAGAAATGAACCTTCCATTTGCTGGTTCCCTAGTGGAAGTACGAAAATTAAGAAAAAAATTAGGGTACGTCGTGAATTTTTTACAAAAAAAATCCCATAAATACAGTGTAGCGTTTTTTATAACAACTACCACTGCGAACGGCAGCTTTTCATCGGAGAGCAGTCGTGGGTAAGGTATTTCACTAGAGAGAAAACTAATCAATAACAATAAACAAAAAAATACTGATATTGGGCGCCAGGCATGTACAGAGAAAGAAAACAAAGTTGTATATTACTTAAAACTAATGACTATATTTATTCATGGTGTTCTTTGCTGGTACATGACATTGTAGAGTTCTAATAAATATATAGTGGTTATATGTAAAAAAAAAATGGTGTTAAGAGTTGTACTAAATATCTATGAACGTAAAACCATTAGAAGACGTAATGTAATGAAACCTAAGATCTAAATCATATTTTAAATATTAAATCGACATGAATGTTCTTAACAATCCAACCACTAAACATAGTCTGTACGATATTACTTAAGATGTACATTATTGTTTAAGACTGAAAATGTTTTAGATGTTAAATGTAAAACTAGAACTTAAATCTACACTTAGCTGTTCTTTATGTAATCTTGCTTCAAACAGTAACAGCGTGAGGTGGTCTCGCATCTCTGTACTCGGCCATCCAATACAACAAAAGGGGGCCAGAATGAGGATACCATGAATTGATACAGCCGTAACTACTGACTAGACTGAGAAATGGGAACGAAGCAGCATGGGGCTTACGCTACATCCATATTGTGGCAATATGGGGACACTACCCGTACCTTGGAACACTACTAGGACCTTGGATAATGCCCGAACCTTGGAATCAATACATAGATATGGGACACCTGCCCATACCTTGGACACAGTCCGTCCATAAAATAACGGTACAGGGGAACACTACCCGTACCTTGGACACAGTCCGTCCATAAGATAATGTACGTCCATAAGACCCTCGAATTACTTCCGAGGGCTCAATAATAAATAAAGAAACTGTCCTTTCTTCCATGTAACATTCTGGAGGACAAAAGAAAAGGGACGCCAACGTGCCAGCAAAATACAAATACAAGTTAAGTTGGGACATCCAAAACTCTACCCTGTTGCTTTGAAATAGCAGCTGATTCAAATTATACAGCAAGATTTAAATAATCATCATTTCTAAAAGGCGGGATACAACAGAGCGGCAAAACAAAGTGAGGTTAAGCACGGGGAGAGTTGACAGAAGCGATGTTGACAGCGCGTCCTCAGAGCGATAACAGGGTTGTGTTAAACGATAACAGGGTTGGCGACTAAGGAACGTAAAAATTACGCCAAGCGTGCCAAATAAATTATCAGGCCTGAACGATACGGAATCCGATGACGATACGCCAGACATCATATATATCATATATAAAAAAGACATGTAACGAACTAAAAACGTTACAACAGGGTATGTCTCGATAAAAGAAACATACTATTTCTTTACCATTTTTCAAATACTTAAAAGTCTATTACGCCGTACTGTTCGGGTCGCTCTTAGGGGTCGGGTAAAGCTGGTGTGTGGCCGAAGGAAATATACAGATTGTTAACTGGACGGTTACTTATTGGGGAACAGAATGGAAACACTGCCTACATTCCAAATGAGTACTAAGCTAAGCTGCCGACTCGTCCCGTCGCGTCGCGTCGTCTCTCGACGAGCGGGCCGAGGTTGCCATATTTCAACCATAATGCTCTTGCCGCGAGTAATAAACAAATTAACAACCTGTATATTATATTATTAAGGCTTAGCTGTATTATACTAAGGCTTAGCCCGAATCTGTCGTGTTAAGCCATACCTAAAATTCCGAACACACGTGCTATGATTAAGGTTTGATTAAGGTTTGCAGAGCTTCAGCATTTGCGATAAAATAGCGAGCAATTTGTTACAAAACCATATAAATTATATATCACTGTAATCACAAAACTTCAATCTATTTCCGTATTGTAACGGAATTTTAAATTATTTCTTTATTTTTGAGAAAATTTAGTCCAAACATAAGGAATATTTTGTTGATGTTTGACCATCAAAATCTTAAAAATAAAAAAGTTGTCTAAAAATGTGCTACAATATGGATATAATGTAATCCTTTATCTTTAATTTCCTTCTTCATTAGTGATAAAAATACCTAGCCAGTTTTACATAAAACGTTACTGTACCCTGTATACTTTGACTACTTCATGGTCCACAGTGTTTTGGTGCATTGTATTTAATATTCATGTAACTTTTATAAATTCATTTTATTTTTAGATTGGAAATGACACATATTGAAGACAAACTTCTCGAATCGAACGGTTTCATCTGCAGAGATTGCAGCAGAGTAACGTTTATAGAGTTTGTCAATCTGCTAAGGCTGCAAGATAACGAACAGGTGGCTCTACAGTTGTTCCGCATCTACGATAAGCAAAACGTAGGTCTGATAGACCTTAGGGACTACCTTCTTGGTATTCTGGCCACGGAGAACAACAAAACTCCTTTGGAGATTGTAAAAATAGCTTTAAAGGTAAGTCAGAAGAGTCAAACTTCATTCAGAACCTCGCAATTAATGGAATAAATTAGTGGTTTCAATTAGCGTAGAAGTTTGTTCCTTTAATTTCAATGTAAGCATTAAGAACGCCAAAATTAGTGGTAGACATTTTCAATTTGTAGAAAAAGTTATCAAACTTTTAACTTTTTCACTAATTATACTTCAAAATTTGCGAGATATGTAATTTTGCCCTTTGATTATCTTCCGTCAAGAGAAATGTTAGAAGTTAGAAATCATAAATTGATTGTTTTATAAACTACACTCAGATGCAAAAAAAAACGCAACGGAGAAATTTTTGGTCAAATTTAAAGTGTTATATAGAAATTTTAAAACATTTTTCGATGCACGTCATCAACTTTGAGTGACAAGCGATGGCCAGATTGTGATAGACTATGACATAAATCTTAATTTAAAAGTGACAAACAATATATTTATTTACCAATCAATCTTACTTCTCTGACTTCTTTCAAGGGTAATAAAGGACCTTTATTGTCACGTTCGCGTTCAAAATATTTTATCTACAAGCGCTTCGCTTCGACTGTTTAACGGCTTCGGTATATTTTCAATCTACAATTTCAAAAAATGCAGTAAAAAATCTCAAAAATTTAGTTCTTAAAAGAACTATTTGTGCTTAGAAGTACAATTTAAAAAAAAAAACTATGAAAAACGGCAAAAAAACGAGAATTACTCCCAAAAATTCAACAACACGATATTATACAAAATAATGACTAACACTAGGATAATTGTCAAATAATACACGACAACATTGCTGAACATGGCGCAATGTAACCAACAAGGCGATAATAAAAATCGCTTTAAACTAATTTTTGCAGCTTTAATCTAAATAAAATATCTGTTACAATCATTTGCTCTATAAAGTATAATGAAGAACTGCTTGGTATTTTAAATTAGACAACAAATTTAAACATTTTTGCTAAAATTTCATTTACTCAGGTTTATAGGCTTTAGTGTTAATTTCGATGTGATTGATGACGTGCATCGGAAAATGTTTTAAAATTTCTATATTTTTGTTATTTTTAGACCTATTTCCATGATTTTTTTAGCAAGCTGTATATAATTATATCACCTTTAATTCGTAAACTCAATTTGTTATAATCTTTAATATTTGGCATATTATACAGGGTTAGTCGAGGGGTTGTTTTTTTTATCTTAACTTTAAAATACCCTAAATAATCAGAACCATGATTCCTGAGTATTTTGTTGTCGATTCACGTCAATACATGCTTTAGTTAATTTTTAATAGCGAAATGAACTGATCACGATGAATTTGCAATTTTTCAATTATCATTACTTTTTGATGTAAAATTTTATATGACGGGATGATTTTGGTGACTATTGTCGTAACGTCATATTACGCTGCATTGAATACTCTATACTAAATTAAAATAAAAATAAAAACTAGCGATACAGTCCGGGTTTTAATAAACATTAATAACGATAACAGAACTAACGATATTAAAGATAAAAATCTGTAATACTCAAGTATACCAACAGAAAACAAAAATTGTAAAAAATACCCTAATACTTTGTATTGCCTCCCTTGGCTGCTATAACTGCCTGCATAGGTTCATACTGTCATTGGGGCTGCATATATCATATTGCGTTATGTTTTCCTATTCTTCTTTAAGTACCAAGTGAAGTTCATTTAATGAAGCTAGTAAAGCTTCGCGACCTCTAACCCTTTTGCCAAACATTTCCCAAACGTCGAACATGATGGGCAGTTCATAATACTGTATAGTTCACAATAATCACCAAAGCCGCCTTGTCATATTGAAAAATAACTTCAAAAAGAAATGATAACTGGAAAAAAATTGCAAATTGTTGGTGGCAAGTTCATTTCGCTCTTAAAAATTAACCAAAGTATATATTGACATGTTCCAAAAAACAAATGTTCAGGAGACATGGTTCTGACCGTAAAATTATAATTTAGAAAAATTGATAAACGAAATTATTTCACAGGATGTTTTAAAGTTAGGGTAAAAAAACAACCCCTCAATTAACCCTGTATAATATGCCAAATTCTAAATTTTATAAAAAACTGAGTATACGAATTAAAGTTGATATAAGTCTATACATCTTGGTAAAAAAATTCATAAAAATAGGGCTAAAAATAACAAAAGTATTATAACACTTTAAATTTGACGAAAATTTTGTCCGTTGCGTTTTTTTGCATCTGAGTGTAAATATTATGCTTTCTCTATGGATAGAACCGAATAACGCAAGCTGTTAGGATAATCTATTAATTTTAATTGTGTTTTTTAAATATTGTGAATGATTGGGAGGTTCTGAATGAAGCTTTATGACACATATTTTTGACTTAATTTTTTAATGTTTGTTTTGTTACAGTTGTATGACGTTAACCACAATGGAAAAATTACTGCAGATAATTTCTGCAAAGCTCTATGCCAAACTGTGGGTCTCACTCGCGAGCAAGCCATGGAGATTTTCGATCAAGTCGACAGGCATCAACTGGGATTTGTCACTTTCGGTAAATTTCAAAGAAAGTTTGAATCATAGATAAATTAAATAAATTTACATTGGATTGCTCGGCTTCCCGACAAACTTACAATTATTAACCACAAACAAGGAAAGAAAGCATAATATGTCATTTATCTACGGAAAGCATTTTCTCTTGTCAACGTCAGAATCTACAAAAAAAAATCCAAAAAAAATTCAACAGTTATTTAAACTGTTCTTGTTGAAAAAATACCGAAAAGTGTGTAAAGCGTTCTTTTTCAAAGTTATTGTGATCTTTAGAGTTTAATTTTAACTATATTTACGCAAAACCCTTGATAATTGTGGACAAGTGGTATTAAAAATATTAAATACTGTTGTGAACTGCTAAAACCAACGTGGCACAAACCTCGGTTTCCAAAAAATGATCCACATATTTTCCAACATTGAATTAGTACTGTTAAAACTGGGGGATGAGTTTTTAACTACCCAATCAGCCAGTGTACATTCTATGTGCGTCTTATGTACGTAAAAGTAGGACATAATGTATGTCAGAAAAACGTACACGAAAATACAGATTCCATCCAGAGAATGTATTACGTACATACGTTTTCCACAAAAATGTATATTCCGTGTATGTACAAAGAGTACATCCGAAGGACGTACATTAAAAACGTATCATGTACGTACCAGTGTACATTCTACGTGCGTCTTATGTACCGGGTGGCCAACTAAGAATGGACGCCGGCTGTATCTTAGAAACTATTTATCGTATAACTTTGGGAAAAAAATTTTAATAAGTAAATCGACCAAAAGAAATCGCTGGAAATTATTTTCAAGTTCGAAAAATATCCGCTAGGGGGCGTTTCTCTGATAGCTTATCAGAAAACAGAGGTTTTCTGAAAAATATGCAGGTGAACAGGTATTTTAAATATGACTATTGTAATCATCGAAAAAATTGCAATTTTTATGATATAGAGCATTTTGCTCTATCTCATAAAATAAAGTGGTGGGGGAAGGTTAGACTTGCTTTTATTAAAATAAGGATAACTCTGGTTTGGATTAGCCGATTTAAACAAACTAGGGCTCGTTTAAAAGAGCTTTTCTTCCTTAATGATCTCCAGTATAAATTTTGTTTCCATATTTTTTCCATCGTGGTAGCTAGACGGCGCTGTTTGACATCATAACAGATTTTGCGCTTTTGCATAAAAAAATTAAATAGGAGGCTATATTTCTGTTTGCACAGTTAAATAGAGCACAAAATTTCCAAAAAATCAGCGCAAACCGCAACTTTCTATCTTCTCTCTAACGGGAGATATTAAGAAAATAAATTATATTAGGCTGTCGCCTAGGATTATACGGTCTAGAAATTAGAGTAGTAGGCTAGGAAACAAAAAGAGGCAAATTTGTTTACGTCAAAATATTAAAACATACATTTTAATTTCATATATATATATATTTAATTTTTATTTATCCATGTTCGTTCTTGATTCGACACCATAAATTAAAACCCAGGCATATTGAATCCAATGACCTAGCTGGCTATGGAAAATATGCCGCTCCAGCGTCTCTATTCACTAAAGTAAGTATAAGTAAGAAGCCCCACACATTCATAGCAAAATAAGCGGCACAACTGCACCAATTGCATCAACTACACCAACTACACTCATGCTGATAAAATTGCAACAAATGCAATTTCATCATGATAGATCCCCTAACAAAATTGGCAAATCGTCTCTTAGAAATTATGGATAGTTTATTATTTCATTCAGATAATTAAAAAAGTCCAATCATTCGCCATCCTAGAATTCCTGCCTAAACATTTACCGACCTTGGTGCTGAACCACTTGCATCAAGGGTAGATTTGGACCAGTAGTGCATATTGCAAAATGACACAAACGACATAAACTTTAATAATAAAAATTAATAAATAACACGAACATCAGGTAAAACACGAAAACAAGTGAAATCAAAGACGAACTTGGATTAATAACTAAATGACGTTACATGAAATAAACCCCTAGTTTTCCATACGAAATTCGGCCGTTTTCTGTTAAAAGCAATATGGCGGCACAAAATTCCTAGAAATTTTAATAAAATTATTGATTGTCCGACTTTTGGACATTTTAATCTTAGAACTAGGACGACTACCTACGTATAATTAACCAAGAAATTCGTAAAAATTATATTGATGGTCGATAATGTTACATAAACACGTTTAAAAACTTATGACGTCATTTTTTTTAAGAAAACGTTCGGATGCATGAAAACTGAACTTAATCATTTTGATATTTTGACGTAACCAAGTTACCTGTTTTTGTTTCCTAGCCTACTACTATAATTTTTAGACCATATCATCCCTGATAAAATTATGTTTTCACTTTTTTTATATAATTTTAATTTTTTTAATTCTGTTTATTTTTATAATTTAATTTATTTCTATTTTGTATTTGGGGTCGCACCACTCTGGCACTTTGTGCCATTGTATCGGTTTTTTAATCGCCGTGCGATCCCTTTAGACACACATTTATTAATACTAATATTATTCTGTAAAACTTAATGGGGTCGAATAAGAAAATTTGAATTTGAATTTGAATTTGAATTTGAATTTGAATTTGAATTTGGATTTGGATTTGGATTTGAATTTGAATTTGAATTTGAATTTGAATTTGAATTTGGATTTGAATTTGAATTTGAATTTGAATTTGAATTTGAATTTGAACTTGAATATAATCCTAAACGGCAGTCTAACATGATTTGTTCTCTTTATATCTCCGGTTAGAGAGAAGATAGAAAGTTGCGGTTTGTGCTGATTTTTTGGAAATTTTGTGCTCTATTTAACTGTGTAAAGAGAAATATAGCCCCCTATTTAATTTTTTTCTGCAAAAACGCTATATCTGTTATGGTGTCAAACAGCGCCCTCTAGCTACCACGAAAAAATGTATGGAAACAAAATTTATACTGGAGATCATTAAGGAAGAAAAGCTCTTTTAAACGAGCCCTAGTTTGTTTAAATCGGCTAACCTAAACCAGAGTTATCCTTATTTCCATAAAATCAAGTTTAACCTTCCCCCACCACTTTATTTTATGAGATAGAGCGAAATACTCTATATAAAAAAAATACAAATTTCTCGACGATTACAATAGTAATTTTTAAAATTAATTAATTAAACCTGTTTACCTGCATATTTTTGAGAAAAACTCTTGTTTTCTGATTGGCTATCAGAGAAACGCCCCCTAGCGGACATTTTTCGAACTTGAAAATAATTTCCAGCGATTTCTCTTGGTCGATTTACTTATTAGATTTTCTTTCCCAAAGTTATACGATAAGTAGTTTCTGAGATACAGCCGGCGTCCATTCTTAGTTGGCCACCCGGTACGTAAAATTAAGACATAATGAAACTAAAAGAATTTCGAACTTCCATGTCTTTATTTATTTTGCTTACACAACATTTTGATAAGAAGAAAGTATCACTGATCGAAACGTTGTGTAAGCAATAAATAAAGACAATGGTCCGAAATTATTTTAGTTTCAATACCGAATCTACCAAATTTTAAATGATCCAACATTATAATAAATATGATAGGTATTATGGTCATGCACCTTTTGCTTCCCGCTTCACACTGCTGGTTTTACAGTTCTTTTAATATATTTAAGGGATTTCGTATATATGTGTTTTATATATGAAAATAAAAGAAAGTAATAAATTTGAATAAAAAAAATCGGATATAATTACGGACAATGTCGAAACGCTAAAAAATTATTAAAAGCTTTTGGTCGCGTCTGCTACAACAACAGCACCAAATAGTATTTACATTGTCCTTATGGACACTTTCCACTTTCCAATTGGTACGTTAGTATATGACATAAATCAGGATTGATTAACGTATTCGGATTGATTGACGTATTCGTATAAATATTAATTGTTTTCGGTCACTTCTGTTTCACCGGAAATGACTACAACTTTTGATTTTTAAATAGTACCCTCGGTATTTTTTTACTTTATTCGATATAAAATGACACTGTGAATAGAATGACATATCATATGTCAACTTTTAACATTCTCGCTTAAAAAATTGATTTTAAATTTCAATCTAGAGTGACATGAATGTGTTAAAAACACTAATTTTTAATCAAGGAGCCTTGGAAAAATGTTTGATCGTCTTTGTTTTTAGTGTCTTGTCCTGGCTGGTTAAAAAATGCCCAAATCGTATTTTTAATCAAATCTCCATATTTTCAAATGGAACGAGGGTGGCTCATTAGCATATTTGGAAAAAGAATTTTTTTACGAATAATTTGATACCTCAAGCTGCATTCTAAATCAATTCGCTGGCCGAGTCGTACTTTGGCACGCAAGCTTATCTTATGTACTTCAGTGTACTCATTCACAACAAAATTCGACGCCAGAGTGCAAGTTGAAGTTGGATTGAAAGCTTGCAAGCTGCAAACTTCCACTTCAGCACGGAATTTTCGTTTTACAATTATGACAAATTTGACATTTAAATTTTAATGATTATTTTGTTTGTGTCGTTGTTACAAGCCATTTTCCTGTGAAAAGTAAATAATTATTAAAAGAAAAATAAGTGAAGGACGCTATTCTTATTTTATTAGGACTTGTGGCTTTGTTGTTAAAAAAAACGGCAATTATTGTTGCAGCTAAATAATTAGCTTGACCGAAAACCAAGGGTTTTACCAAAACCCAAAAAATGAGGTGTCCGACCCATATTAATGGCGAGAAAAAGTTTTGGGTGCTTGAGACACATTTTAGAAAAAAATCATCAATAAATGACGTTTTTGTTTCCATTTTTCTAAACATAAAAACTTGGAAAACTTAATTAACAACTGTCCCGGATTTTGACTCTTCCAAAATCAAAACCAACAACTAACCTAAAAAATGTCAGGAGAACGTTTAAACACGCATGCGCAAATTCGAATTGAAATTTGTTGTGAATGGTAAATTTCGTGCCGACTTTAACGTCGAAGTGCCACTCGGCCAGCGAATTGATTTCGAATGTAGCTTCACACTTGATATTTCGAGTCAAATTGTCGTTATGAACAGCACGTTACAATGTCAAAAGTTGACATATGATATGTCATTCTACTCAGAGTATCATTTTTAATCGAATAATAGTTATTTTTTATACAAGACGATAAAATGGTATTTTATCGTCGTCCGAAAAGATTTCGGGAGACGATAATGCAATTTTATCGTCTTGTATAATAAAACAATATTTTTTTTCCATAGCGAGTTACGTTTTAAAAAATATTCAGAAATTATTATTTCAAGGAATTTATTACGAGTAGAAAAAATTGACAAATAAATAAAGCTGTCTTTTCAATTGTCAGTTTTGAGTCAATATTTTTTAATTCTCTTTCGAGTCGATTGCTGATTGAATTGGATCCAGAAATGGCTCAAAACGAAATAAGTAAATTACCAACAGATATTCAGGCTGAGGCGACAAACGCCATATCCAAACTCCAAACTACTTCCATTTAAATTCCGAATAACTTATGAAAAGGAATACAAAAATGGAAGCAATTAAAAAACAGCGAGAAGAAATAAAGTTTTTAAAATATCCTCTCAGGTATCATTTAATCTACCCTTGCGGTTAAAGTACTATTTTATATACTATTTTTGATAGATATAAGGCAATTTTAACAGTTGCTATGAAAAAAAAATATATTATATTGTTTTACAGAAAACTTCATAAACTACGCCCAGAAAAGATCTGACTTCCACTACCTCTTCAGTGATACCCACGACGAGAAGTTTCTACTGAAGAACGGAGACATCACACCAAACACCAACAAGAAAGTTGACTGATTTTCACCAATGGTTGTTCATATGTAAATCTTGGAGTGAACAAAAAAGGAAATGTCAATCTCGTTCACAAGTTTCTCCAATTTATTACATGGCTCAACCATGATCAAACTATCTCCAGCAAACTGTTTTCGGTTCTGAGCGTACCCTAGATTATATATACTTTCCTAGATAGATACGAGGGTTGTTTTTTTAATTTTGCATATAGAGGTAGAAAAAAACAACCCCCGATCATATTACCCTCTAACTGTGATGTCAACATTAGAAATGCCCCTAATAAAATGTTTCTATAGTATGTTTGAGGTTTTCAACTTAATCAAAAAGAAAATAAAAATAAATATATCTAATACACAAAAATAGTATAATCCATATTAACCAATATGAAAAAAATATACCTACGGGGTGTCCCGAACTGTATTCCAGAAACTTCGGCAGTATATTCTGCAGATAAAAATAAATAAAAAAGTTCCTATAAATGTATCTCCTAAATTCCTCTATTTCGGAGATACAGGGGGATACAGGTCTTTTTTCCAAAAAAATATCTAAACCTAAACTAACATCGATATTTGGATGAAAATTGGTGTCTGGGAGTTTTTTGACATGAGAAATTTGATTTTGATGTCAATATGACTCCTACTTGTAGAGGGCACCACCTACATAATTTTTAACTGGTTTGAAGAGTAACAACTTTTTGTCCGTATCTGCATAAAACTACTGAGTGTAAAAATATATATTTACGACATTTTTTACGTAAAACAGGTCTCTTGGTAAAAGTCGCTACGAGTAAAGGTTCTCGAGATATTTGGAATCGAAATCATATCGAAATTATCGATACTTTTACGGTTGCTCGTAGCGATTTTTATCAAGAGACTTTTTTTATGTAGAAAATCACGGAAATGTACATTTCTTCACTCAATACTTTTATACAGGTACGGACGGAAAGCTATTACACTTCAAAACATTTAAAACAAATGTAGGTGGCGCCCCCTACAAACAGAAGTCATATTGACCTCAAAATCGAATTTCTCAAGTCAAAAAAACTCCCAGACACCAATTTTCATCCGACTTACTCCAGATATTATTTGGAAAAAATTGAAATAAAAATGAAATTTCTCAACCTGAATCTCCGAAACTAAGCATTTTAGGACACACATTTATAGGAACTTTTTTACTTATTTTTATCTGCGGAATATGCTGCCGAAGTTTCCGGAATACATTTCGAACCACCCTGTATAGTAAATCATAGTAATGTTGGAGATATACTATAGTTATATATAGTATACATCTGCTAAGTATATATCATCTAGAGTCTGCAACATACTATTTTCACCAAATTTAATTTTTTTTGTCTCACAAAACCAACTCTTCCTTTAGTTTCTTTTCGATTATTGTGAATTTTGACACAATATTAAGTATATTTTTATTGAAACCTACCTCTTCAGGCACTGATATGTATTATTATTCAACGTTTTCAAAGATCATTAGATATCTGTTCTGAACAACATGTTTCATAATCATCTAAATAGATTTCATCTTTCATCACTATCATTTTGTATCTGCTTTATAGGAATGCCTTTAAAGATAGAAAAAAATAACATTCTATGGCACTTCAAGTATTCTGCTTTCATGTCACATTTTTCATCCAATCACAATCACAATCATCCAAAAAACTTATCCTTGAGATAGATATGTATAAAAACTTATTTAGAGTTAGAGAATCTTATTTATTTTCTGTGTACTATATTATTTGTTATTCTTTGTACTATAGTTTTTTTTTCTAGTTTTAAGTTAAATATAGTTTTGATAATAGAGCCAGTCTGACGAGTGTTTTATTTCAGTAGAAATTATAAAGAGTGTGTAAATGATCGATTTTTTAAAATATAGAATTTTGAAATGAAATATAGATGTTTGGAAATGTTTCAAACCATTTTCTGCAATTTGTGTCCAAAATGTTTCCGTTTTTGGCAGCCACTGTTTCTAAATGTGAAGAAACAAAATACCAAACTAAAATAGTCTCTGTCTGTGTGTGGATATAATGTCAACCTCCGCCATATTTTTTTGTCTTAAGATTTTTTTTTAGGTTTTCTCTCACCAATAATGACTAAAAAAAAATTCATCGTTTAATTTAACAACGTATATAACTTTCATATTTTTAATGCCCCTTCTGTATATCATTATTTGTTGCTACAACAATACAAAAAGATATAAAATATATCAATATAAAAAGAACACGGTATATCACAAACAAAATACGCGCAACAGGAGACAAATACAGTGAGATTAAATACAAACGTCAAGATTACGTATATAGTCTATTGCAGCGTCATCAGCAGTCAGGAAATCGGAGTAGTTTCCACCGTACTCCTCGCACTCCTCCACTATGTGACGTACGGTTTGTCTGTCGGCTCCACAGTCGCATCTGGGTGATGGTATCTTACCCCATCTGTGAAGAGAGTCTGCACATCTTCTGTGGTTCGTGCGTATTCTGTTGAGGGATGACCTCGCATGTTTTGCGAGGCAGCTGGTACCCAGACGGTTTTTTGGTGATGCAGGGGAGGGCTTGACAGTGCTCAGGACATGCCTCTCGCCATTATTCTTTCCAGGACTCTACTAGGCTAAAGCCCATGTTATGTAATTACTTGGCTGTTTTCATTGTTGGGTGTCTGGATCGAAGCCTATCCATCTCCAAGTCAGGTATGTCACGATGTATAGGGAGCTGGGTGTTGTTGTTTGCCTTCCTGTACTCCCGGAGAAGAGCATTGCTCCGACGCAAATGCGCAGGTGAAATATGACTCAGGATAGACAGAAAATGTGTTGGGGTTGTTCTTATAGTCCCGCTGACAATTCGCATCGTGTTATTCAGCTGCACGTCGACTTTCTTCGTATGAGCGCTATTCATCCAGACCGGGGCGTAGTATTCTGCTGTTGAGTAAACCAGTCCAAGAGCTGATGTATGGAGCGTGTCAGCCGAGGATCCCCAGGTAGTACCACGTACCACACAACTTGTGAAGGATATTATTCCTCATCTTTAATTTGGCTGCAGTGTTTTCCAGGTGCCGCTTATAGATGAGCGTTCTGTCCAATGTGACTCCAAGATACTTTGGATACTCGTTATGTTAGATACTCGTTATGATTTCCTTCGAAACGGACGTCAAGTCGTCTGCCTGCCGATTTATTACAGAGATGGAAGCATGTCGCTTCGGTTTTTGTAAGGTTTGGTTGCAGTCTCCATTTACGGAAATATGTACTTAAGGCCACCAAGTCAGACGACAAAGTTGCCTCCATTACCTCAAAGTTCTTATGCTGCGTCGCCAAGACCCAATCGTCTGCATATCCAAACTTCCTAGAGGATGTGTGAGGCATATCAGCGATATACAAGCTGAACAGCAATGGGGCCAGAACGGAGCCCTGTGGTAATCCGTTATTTAGGATCCTTTGGGCACTTTTTTGTGCTCCCATTACCACCCGGAATGTTCTGTCAGCGAGCATGTTATCTATAAGTCGGAGAGTTCTCAAACAAGGGATTGTTTGGCCGAGTTTGTATAGTAAGCCATGTCTCCAGACAGTGTCGTAAGCTGCAGACAAATCTATTAAAATAGCTGCAGTTTTAAATTTTCTTTGAGAGCCAGCTTCTATGTATGTTGTTAGTGCCATAACCTGATCTGTGCAGCTGCGCGCAGGGCGGAACCCGGCCTGTTCGTGGCGATGCGGTTATACAGAAGTCTTTCTAAGAGCTTATAGATTGAGCTCATCAATGCCACTGGGCGATAGCTTTTCGGTTCATCGCTCGGCTTTCCTGGCTTCAATAGGGCGATGATTTTTGAGCGTTTCATTTGTTGAGGTATTATGCTGTGTGTTATGATATCTGTGAAAAATTGTGCTAACCAGCTTCTTGCATATTTTCGACAGTGCAGTAGGAACTCTGGGTGGATTCCGTCATATCCAGGTGCCTTTCCCGGTTTTACGTCCTTGAGAGTAATGGTTATTTCGTCTAACGAGAATGGCCGGGAAAATTCCGTTTGGTCGTCACAAGTAGATTTTAGCGCTGTGAGCTCGCGCCTAATGTGAGTTGTGTGAGTTCTATCTCTCGGAGCTTTCGAGGTTGACACTATATGGGAGACTATCTTGTTTGGAGGTATTGGTGTGTTTTTGTGGGCGCTCTTGTTGCCGTCCCTTAGTTTTCTTAAAAGAGACCATGCTTTTCTACTAGAAGTCTTGAAGTCCAATGCATGAACGATTTCCATCCATCGCCCTCGACGCGCCGCGTCAAGACTGTTTAGCAACTCGTGGTCAGGGCAATTTCCTGGTCGTGGCTAGCGAGAAATGCCTGGTATTGGGTTTCGCATTGCTCGTTCCATCCTTTTTTTTTTCCATCCCAATTTTTACGTGTATTATTTTGTAATACCTGTTAAACGATGTGCTTACTATACGATAAACAAAAATAAAATGTTGCTACAAAATATTTTGGTTTGAAATATAGATCTTTATTTTTATATCGTGGTTCTTAAAATAAAAACATATAAATTGATGTAAGTAGAACGCGTTCTTATGAGTTTAAAAGCTCAACAACCGATAAAAACATATATTTTTAGTTAAAAACGCTATCACTAGCCAACATGGCGGAATTATAATTCATTATTTTATAAAGTTGGCTTGGAGTCGGAAACAAATCATCTACATTATATCATATTTCTGTCTAAAAAGAGAAAAGCTCGTGCTCGAAAATGGATCAACAATAAATGGAAACTGTTTCCAAAATGTTTCGATTTAGCGCTATCTGTGTAGAAATTTCGAACTAGTCACCTGTCAACAACGCCAATCAAAACTTCTGGTCAAAATAATTAAAACATTTTTATTTACTTACTATAACACAATTAAAACATAAAAACTTGTATTCCATTGTGGAAAAAATAGAAAAAAAACGTTTGCTGGTAACATTTTTCTTCGGTCTCCTGTTGGATATGGGTACTGTGGTTGTTATTACGTTTATTCTTGAAACAAATCATCTCTGTAATACGTATAATAATTTATTATAAAATCGCATAACAAAAATATCTGAATTTGTACTCATCACTATTTGACATATATGTCCTTCGTTCTGTTTTTTTTTAATTATGGTACTATAAAAACTTGAAGAATGCTTAAATGCAAAAACTGCAGAACAAAATCCAAACAATTAAAATAACGTTATGTGACAGGATATCAACGTTATGACAGGATATCAAATAAATTATATGGAAACTTTTCAGGCACACATCTGTTTCTTAAAACTTTCGAAAAATTTGTGACACTAAAATCTTTATTATTATAGCTTATGTAGCGAAACCATATTTTGGTAAAATTTCGAAACAAAAAGCGATTTATGTTACAAAACATATGTATCAAAAATGTGAAGAAACTGTTTCTGAGCAAAGATTTTGTTTCGATTTTGTGTCTAAAAATATGCTTCTTGG